TGGTGTGCCAAATCGATGGAGTCCATAAGCTCAATTCAGAATACTCCACACGCTACTGCCATTGCCGCTGGCGAAGCCAGTCGGCCAGGGGAAGTCCAAGGGAATGTGAATGCATTTCCTGATGTCCCAACCGATTGGATGGGCATGAATATCAATGCCCCAATCCCGATAGCACTGAACGGACAATTCGGTCAGGATAGTGATGATCCAATAGACAAAGATCATGAAATATATTCCATGGAGGAAGATTTGGATAGTATCAATAATGATATTTCCCTGAGCCGAGCATTGTCCGTGATGATGGAAGAAGACATCCCTGCTAAAGACGAAGGATGGTCTCCAGATGGATCCGATGAAGACACTAGTATCCTGACGCCTCAGGCGGACAGGACGGAGGCTCAGATGATGCACGAGAGGGAGTCCACAGGACGAACCCCTGCGCATGACCTTAAGAAACAACGGAATGAGGACTACGAGCTAAATGTCTCACCGCTGAAGGAAGGTTTCTTCCGTAATGCCGCCGCCTTAGGTGAGTGGCAACCCACTATTACAGCTGTTGTTGAGGATGAAGGAATGGTCGGACAACTAGCTACATATGCTCAGCTAATAACACGAGACGAAAAGGATGAGGAATTCTTAAATGCGCCCAAACCACCAGAAAGTACTTTCGTTCGCTCCAGATCAAATGCTTCAAGCAGGGGAAGATTCAAGATACCAAGATCAGGGGCGAGATCTACTTCAAGGAGCAATAGTACGGTTTCTATGATGGAGACACGTTGGAACCCCAACCCTGATTGCGCGCCTCAGGCGGAGAGCAGATGCCCAGGGAAAGCCAACAGGCCAGAAGGCGCATGTAGGATCCCAGTGCGCAAGAATTGCTCGGACGTTTGCAACGAGTGTAACATGCAATGGCTGTGCACGGGGTGTTACCCAATGGACCAATGGACGAGCATAATTGCACATATCTTCTCATGCAGTCTATTCAGGACCAGGCCAGGCTGGCGGAAGCCAACGCTCAGAGAGAGTTTCTGACCAATGAAGCGCAACTGGCCGAAAGAGCTCGATTGGACAGAGAAGAATTCACTGAGACTGTAAACGAAGCAAGAGAAACGTTCGAGGCTGAGCGCGTCGCCCTAGCCATGGCTGCTAGAGAGCGTGAACAGGCGCTGATAGAACATATGCACAATCAGACCGAGGCCGTTAAATGGCAAGTGGAGAGGGGAGCCGAAAATAAAAAAGAGAATTATTGACTTCGGAGAGACAGGCTGTCATGATGGCAAACAAAGCATCTGCTGACGCCAATGCGGCTGCCGCTGCCGTCGCGGTGGCCAGGACAGAAGGAGAACAAATCGCGACAATCATGGCGGAACGAGAAAAACAGGGCTTACAAGAAGAGCTCAAGACCGCCAGGCTGGAAGCAGTCAACACTCAAGCCGTAGCTGCGAAGACAACCAACCAGAACAATCTGAATCTGGAAGAGCTTAAATCGCATGAGGAAGCTAGATCGTCCCTCCAGCGCGCAACGTCGAGCAATGCTAAATGCCCGCCGGCTAAGCCGACCGGGTCGAATACACACCAGCTGTCGACGGCTCAGTCGTCGAGCATTGTATCCGCCACTGCGCAATTCGATCAGACGACCTTGGCAAATGCGGGAGCATCGACCATGCTGGTAGGAGGTGCAACACGTCCTCCTCCCGATGGGAAAGGAAACGCGATTCCCGTGGATCAGTTTTGTGCCGTTTGTTTTCGCCTAACGACAGACAGTTGCGTCGGATGTGGCAGGTCGGCGCGTGACGAACATATCGATGCGAGTACAAAGAGATGCTTTAGATGCGACCTGTGGAGGAGTGAAAGGTCAGCGGCTAACATGCGAGAAGAAGAGATTGCTTCGAACGCGGCTAATGTAGAGAAAGGAAAGATGAGGCTTAAGGCTATCATCACCGACCCGACTCTGTACACTGAAACTAAACGTGAAGCCGGACTCACATCGAATTCGTTAGGATTTCCGTTGTTTTCGCAAGAAACTCCCGTGCGGCCGCTGTTGCCTCAACATCTCACCGGTCCAGGCCCTGCCCTAGAAGGTCCAGCTAAGCCGAACACCCCCGAAAATGGACTTCCTGCAGGGATGAAGCTAACGGGACCTAACGAAGATAACACTCTCGCCAGTCTCCGCCCATCCTATGGAAATGGTCTTACGGGAATGACGGCGACTAAGTCGTCGCGCGAAGCAGGACAGGGCGGAGAAGGAGACGACAAGAGCGACGCTCCTAACACTGAGATCGTATCTTCGCATGAAGATGATCGTGGTAGAGGACCACGTGGGTCGCCTCCGGGAAGCCCAGGGGGGTCAGACCCCTCTGAGGGTGGGGGTGGACGCAGGGGGCCCCAGGGCCCCGGCGGACCGCATGACTCGGTAGTAATTGACGAAAGCACGCCGTTAGATCAGTGGAGACATGTTGATAACAACCAGAAAATTGATTGGTTGGACATCCCTGATGCAACGAACATTCGTGAGTGGAAAATGCACGCAATACGCGCAATCGCTGGGTCATCGCCCGAGAGCCAGGCAGCGCAGCACTGGATTGCCGAGGCTATGGGTCCAGCCGTGGAGGATGAGCAACTCTAAGATGCTGGACGGTTCCAGCGTCTCGACCTCATGATCGCAACGGATCTTATCGAAAAATTCAACAAGATGCGAAAGAGTCGATTTTAGCTTGGTCATCATACTCATTTCCTCCAACAGATTACTCGTGTGGAATTCAGCGCCCAGACCGAGGGAAGACTCATGACTGGACGCGAGATGGTGCGAGCAATTTGTCATTGGTGTTCGGTGAGGTCGGAGTTGGGACAACATCGTATTTCACGTGACATATGCAGGGTGATCATTGACCCGCACAAGCCCGATGCTGACCTGTATCATTTCTACAATGAATGGACAGATGTGTATCAACAGCTTCACGGCGCTAAACCTCCATCCGATGAGATGAGGGCCTCGATTCATGCACATTTTCTTGAACAATGCAGGAAACCGAACAAACTGAACTTCGTATGCCAATTATACGACTTGTCAAAAGATAAAATGGGACAAGGCGCAAAGACTTATGAGTGGCTGATGGAGCAGATCGACGACATGATGTTGCGAGAAAAAGAAAAGGGGAACATCAGCGTGCATGAGGGAACCTTCAACCAACGTGCTGGGCAAGCACGATTCGGCGGAGGCGGAGGCAATGACAACCGGAGAAATGCAGGCAATAAAGCCGCCCCGGCAGAAATTGTTGCCAAGTTGGGAAAATCTTCGGATGTCATGAAAAGCGGGAAGACTAAGGGCGAAACCGCGTGGAGATACGTGAACAAGGGCGAAACTTGCCCGTACGCAGGAAAGGGCTGTCCCTTCAATCATAAGAAGCCCAAGAATGCCGCGCCTGCTCAGCCGAGTGCGGGACGAAAGTCCAGTGCCGCCCCTGCCCAGGATAAGAACCCTAGAGGTAGATCGAAGGACAGGGGGCGAAAGGGGCAGGGCCGATCCCAGACCCCGACTGGCAACCATGGGAAAGGAGGACAGCAGAATAATAGAAGTCAATCAAGTGGGAAGGACAGTACCATTCCGTGTGACGCATATTCCCGAGACCCCAAGAATTGTCCAGGCCCAGAAGACGGATGTAACAAAGCCCACAGGGGGCTAACCGACGCTGAGAGGCTAAAGCGCGACAAGTGGGAACAAGCGAGACTTGACGCTGGACAATCTTTGGGATATGAGCGTACATCCAAACAGGCCAACGCTGCCGCTGCCAATATCTCCTCGACGGGAAGCAATGGTGGCTCCAGAGCCACTAGTGCTAATTCCGACAAACGTAAAAAGGATGGAGAGAAAAACAAAGGTGGTGGAAAAGGCAAAGACATGGTCTGCCGCTCCTACAAGGAAACGGGAAAATGCTCACGCGGAAAGGAATGCTGGTTCGCCAAGACCACTCCAGGTCATCCGGTTGCGTGACAATGGCTCCACACTGGCGGCTCAGCCGTCAGCGCTGGAGGGATGATAAACATAATTTTTAAAGGGTCTTATTTCTTGCCGCCCTTGTTTGGCAGTCGTGGCGAAGCCTGCGTCGGTTGAGCAGAAAACGGGGGGGTCGGAAGAGACCCGCTGATTCAATCAGCTTGGGTGCCATCGCGTGCCCCGCCCCATTATTCCGGGGCTTCCCAGGGCAGGAGCAAAACAGCCCTAAGTTTTTGACTGTTACGTCTAGTGCCGATGGAGGAGACTATTGGGATACCTCCAAAGGTGAGTTTCACCAGGACAGCAGGAAACATGTCGAGAGTCTCGTTTCTGTCCTTGCGAATTTCCTGTACCCTCTTTCTCGGGGCGCGATCAAGAAGTACTGGTGCGTTCCCCCTAGTAAGAGTTGCATGCGACATCGGGATAGTAACCGGTGCAATCTCCGCGTCCGTTTTCACCCCTCTACTGAGGGGCCGACCATCACTTGGAGGAAGGCGCGTCGCCACGACTTGAAAGAGTTGCCTTCAAGTAGCAAAGACAGATGGAAGTTCCCAGGAGAAATACGTCGACAGATGTCGATACAGTCAAGGGCATCTGTCGCTGAAGCTCTAATCAGAGCATCAGACCTGCAAGATCATGTCTGGCATCTCTGGTTGAAGGACGAAGGGGGGAAAGACAGCGCGCGTCCTCCTCCCTCCTCTCCCTCCCTTCGCATTGTCGCGTTGAGCGGACATAAAGGTCTGGGCCTGCAGCGCTCGCTCTTGGGAAGAACATAGTGCGATCATCACGCACCGGCGAATGATGCGACTTAGGCGCAGAGCGCAACAACTTAAGTTTGGTGAGCGTCGTGGGGCGGCAAATGGACGCCATAGGTACAGAACAACGTCAAGTCCGAGAAAGCACAGAGTATACGCTCACCAATCTGTTAAAGAGGTGATGAAGGTGTTGTTGATCCACAAGGCTCGCAGGTAATGGATAGACGAAGCGATGAGGAGTAAGGTGGGAGGGTCTCTCGACTTGGCTTATTGCGGGCGGCGCTGTGGTGCGATTGCTGCTGTCAGCAGTTCACAGTGGGAGTAGCCCTGCGTGTAGAGGCTGTTCCCCTACCGACGGGCCAAAGTGGCTTCGAGCAGCGATGATTAGGTATCATCTGTGTATATCTAGAGACTGCTGCATTGGCTGACTGACTGGTATAGGTGGACTTGCGCAGAGACTGACCGGCGGCAGTTTTGGATCTTCCCCACGTCTCCTCCTTCTCCTCCTCCTCCTCCTCCTCCTCCTCCTCCTCCTCCTCCTGTTTGCTTGTTGCTGATGGCCTCTGAATCATCCTGAGGCGGCCTTCCCCCCCCTAGCGGACATCGCCGCTGGGGGTGGTGGTGAAGAAGAAGAAGAAGCAGAAAAAGAAATGCAAGAATAACGGAGAACTGGCCCCGCCCCCTATGCGCCGTCTGCGCTCGACCAGCGAGACCGCGCCACAGGCGTACTCCGCACCAGGGGGGCGGGGGGGGGGGCCGGCCGAACTCCTCCTCGAAGCCTCGCCCATCCTGCATCATCAACCCTCCCCACCCCGCGTCCCGCCCACCCAACCCCCCACCCACCGAGAGCAGGGCAAGGCCTCCTGCTGGAGGTGCCCCCGTACCACGGGCTCTCACATGTGCATTTTTTTGAGGGGATGAGGAGGGGCAGGCGGGAATCGTTATGAGGGGAGGGAGGTGACGGAAGTTGCGGCGGCAGGCAGTGGTTGTCATATTGGCTTGCACTGGCCGCGAAGGGACGCCCTTGTGAACCCAAGCGGGCGGGCAGGTGCAGGCAAGCGCTGGCAGGCGGCCAGTTGGTAGAGCTTGTGCCATCAAAGCGCTTTCCTTCTCCCCACTCTTTCCCCCCTCCCCCCGAGTTCGGATCCCTGCCGGTCAGCGACACGGGTGAGGCGGGCCAGGGCAGGCCAGGATGAGCGAGAGAAGGTACGCCTTGGGGAGGACTGGACGGCTCTCGCCTTTGCAGTGCAGGCTCGCCGCCAGTGTATAGTTTCACGCTCCTCCCTCCAGGATGTGGGTGGTGGGCATGGGATCAGTGGAGGTGGGGTGTCTGCCTTTCCTCGTGCTCCCTGCCTGCTGTCTCCGCCCGGCCCCTCTCTCGCCTGCCCGCCCGCCCCGCCAGCCCTGGCCTCCCGCCTGTGCGTTCGTCGTCGTCGTCTGCCTGCTTCTCCCCTCCTCGTCCCCTTCCGCCAGGCAGTACAGCCTGTCTGGGACCAGCGTGGCGGCGTGCAGGGCTTCAGCCGACGGCGGACTGTCTGGACTGCACCTCGCGGCTCCGGGCTTCCTTGAGTCGGAACCGCACGTGTCGACCGAGGCAATGCAGCAGGCTCGCTGTCTGGTGCGGCCCGCCGTACGCGGGCGCCACTGGCGCTGCGGGCGCTCGCGAGCGCTCAGCAGCCTGCGCAGGAAGGAAAGGACGGCTCTTCCGTAGCACTCTGCCGCCCTGGGCCAGCTGAAACACTCTGCTGGTCCGTTCGCTCTAGCAAGGTGGCTGGGCAGTGCCTTCTTCGAAGGTCTTCTGACTGATGGCCCCGGTGCACCAGGCCTGACATGTGAAGCGTCCACATAGCCTTCCAAGGCCCTTGCACTCTTCCCGCGCGTCCTTGTTATACGCGTGGACCGCATGTGTAGAACCACCGCGTCGGCTCAAGATCCCGCGCGGCACGCTCCCGCCGCGCCCTGGAGCTGGGCACTCGCGCGGGCCCCGCTCCCCGCAGGGGGCGGACGAGGCCTGCAAGGGCATGACGATGTCCTGCCGCCGCGTCACCTTCGCGGTTGACGTGGAGGACTCGGGGCGGCAAGCCCAGGGGGGAGCGAGAAGGGGCGGGCCTTCTCGGAAGGCTCGGAAGTCCCACGGCCTTCCGAGGAGTTTTCGAAGCCTTCTCCGCAGACGCAGGGGCCTTTCTCAGGAGGCGCGAGGGCTTCTGAGAAGCCCCGTCGCCTCCAGGAGGTCTTCTTCTTCTCACTTCCCCCCCCTCGCTCGCCGCCGAGGAGTACGACGGCGACGGGGACCCGCACGCGACAGGGCAGCAGTCGCTGCTGGAGCAGCTGGCGTCGTCCGACGACGCGCAGCGGGCCAGGCGGAGCGCGGCGGCGCAGGGCTGCTGCTGGAGCTCGCCAGACCTGGAGGGCGGGAGGCACCACGCTGCCGCCAGCCACGACAGGTTCCCGCTGATGAGCTCCCCGGTGTGCAAGACGGCGCTGGCAGTCGGGGCTCAAGAGACGGGGGGCAGTTCTAGGCCTCCTAGATGGGGTCGGAGTAGATGGGGTCGGAGGATCGCGCCGCATCGCCGATCCGGCTCATGCGGAGTCCGATTGCGAAGGCCTTACGGCCGGTGCCGCCGACCCTGAGGACGAAGCTGTCTGTGACGCCGTGAAGGCCGAAACGTCGTATATGCTAGAAATGTAAGTTTCCGATGGAAAAGTAATGAGTATGGCCTCTTGGGCCCTTCTTGGGGGTGCTCTTGGAGGGGGCCTGGGACGTATTGGAGGCTTCTTGGACGGTCTTGGGGCTATCTTGGGCGTCTTCGGCCGATCTTTGGGCGACTCGGGGCACTCTTGGGCCGTCTCGGGGGCCATCTTGGGCATTCGGACCTCATTTGGAGTGTTTTCGAGGTTTCGAGGCCGCCCGAGGAAAAACGAATCTGCCCCCCCACCCACCCCCCCACCCTCCCCCACCCCTGGCGGGACCCCCCCCCCCTGGGGAAGGGATCAAAGGGAAGGGGCTTCCCTTCGAATCGACAACGGCATGACGGCAGGAGGGTACGGCCCAAAAAGAAAAAAGGGGGAAGGAAGAAGGGGGGCGGCGAGGAACGGACGAGGAAGCCCCTCGCACACGCCGACAGGGTCGGCGGATTTTCTCCACGCCGACGTCGCTGATGCATCGCCGATGTTGCCGATACATTGGCGATGCGGCGCGATCCTCCGACACCATCTACTCGGACCCCATCTAAGAGGCCTCTACAAGGGACTGGGGTCAATGCAGACAGGGGTCAGTCAGAGCGCCGGATCTTGCAGGATCCTGGAGGCTTTGACAGGATCCTGTAAAGACCCTGATTGACCTGAGCCTGGAGTGGCCCGGGTCAGTAGAGGAGGAGGAGGAGGAGGAGGAGGAGGAGGAGGAGGAAGAGCAGGAGAAGGAGCAGGAGGATGAGCAGAAGAAGAAGCAGGAGAAGGAGGAGGGGCGAGGAGGAGGAGGAGGGAGGAGGAGGAGGAGGAGGTCGATCCTCGAGGTGGTGGCTGTCGTCTGGATAGTCGCCTTCGTCGGGCTGTACGCCAGGGGAGACGAGGACGCGCCGCCGGAGGAGGCGGGCGTGGCCCCCGAGCGAATGGCCCTGGGGCAGCACGCGGTCTCGACGACCAGCGGGGCCAGCAGCGCCTTCGCCCCGCCCTCCGCGTCCAGCGCTGGCACGCTCTCGGATATCGAAGAAGAAGAAAAATAAGAAACGCCATAAGCATGAACTTTTGGCGCTCCAGGGCCCCCCTGGCGGCGCCTCCGGCGCCGCCACTGGCGCGCTCCGCGCGCCAGGGAGGGGGTCCGGCGCGGATCCAAGAATTCCGTGCAGATCATCCAACAGTTTATGTTCATGTGGTTTTTGTTCCACCAGGAGAGCTGTCAAGGTCCGCTGTGCATATTCCACCGGGCAGCTACAAAACTTGTGCGCGATGATCCAGGCCAATTTCCGCTACAGCAGCGTCCTGGAGAGTCTCGGCTCGAGGCCTTGGGCTTCCCGCCCAGCGAGGCCACGGCGCCAAGGACCACCACCGAGTTCAGGCTAGGCCCACTCAGAACAACGTCGACTAAGTCGACGACGTTCGCGACGGTCACGCGGTCGACGACGTCCACAACGTCCACGACTTCCACGCCGACCACCTCGACAGCAAGTGCGCTGGTGGCCACCGACCCGGCGGCGCCCAGCTGCACGGTGGTGAAGGATCACCGAGCGCGTTCCACTACTCGCAAAGTGCTTACTCGCAAACGTTCGAAAAAACACATGTTTCTCTCGAGGTAGTGGACCGTGAATCCCCCGCAGCGCATCCAGGCCATTTGCGAGTAGTTACTCTTGCGAGTAGTGGAACGTCGAAAGGAGGGGGACCTGTGCTACGGCGAGGTCATCAAGGCCATGTACGACGTCCGGGAGCCCAGGGGCAAGAGGCAGAGGCGGCCCGGCAAGGGGGCCACCTGCGTGCCCGCCGGCGGCGGCCAGCGGGCAGCCACGAGCGGGCCCAGGATCTACGGCGAGGGCGCCCGCGACCAGGAGCCCAAGTCCGCCGAGGATCTCGTGCCGAAACCGAGGACTTCGGTAGCGAATCATGGGAGCCTGGTCTACCCCCTGAATTCCGTCTTTAGCGTCGACTAGCGTCAATTGGCATCTAAGAGTCAATGAGATAGCGACGGTTAGCGTCGATTAGCGTCGATGTAGCGTCGACTTGCGTCAATGTTCGTCGATTCGCAAGAGCCGGCACGATGGTACGGAAGGCTCCCATGAGCTGCCACCGAGCGAGGACCGTCGAGCCGACGAGACCCGACGGGCCCAAATCCATCGAGGACCTCGTACCCAACCCGAGGCCCGTCGTGCCCAAGTCCGTCGAGGATCTCGTGCCGAACCCGAGGCCCGTCGTGCCCAAGCCCGTCGATGACCTCGTGCCCGAGCCGAAGCTCGTCGAGTCCATGACGCACCTGGGTGTCAGGCCGAGGGCGGACGACGACGACTCCGACGTGAGCAAGGCGAACGACGAGGCGACATTCGCCGTCGGCGACAAGGTCGAGGGCAACTTCAAGGGCTGGGACTGGTACGGCGCGGCCGTGGTGGCCGTCAACCCCGACGGCACCTACAAAGTGAAGTGGGACGATGGAGACGATGAGGACACGATCAAGACTCCCCAGGAACTTCGTCAGCCGAGGGCGCGCCGTCTGCACGAGTTCCCCTGCAGCGAGGAGGACCTGGACGAGTACGGCAGCCTCACCAGGTGGTCTTCCTTCGAGGAGTTCCAGGACTTCCTGTACCTGAACGACCCCAGCAGCAGCTGCTCGTCCAGCTGCAAGTGTAGCACTGCCAAACAGGGGTCGCAATGCTACGACTCTGTGCTGTGGAGCTCCACGGTGGGTATCACGGAGCACCCCGAGTGGTACTCGGAGCTCACGGAGGACTCGCCGTTCGAGCACTTCCAGGAGCACCTCTGGAAGTGGTTCAACGACAGCAAGTGCGAACGGCCTTGCCAGGCTTCCTTCAAGGGCAAGCCCTCGATGTTCTGCTGGTCACTAGCCAGGGCCACCGGATACGAGGCGCAGGTGATGACGAGGCAATTGGAGCTGGGCGCAGGCATCTTCGGCTGCGACGGCTACGCTGTGGTCAGCGAGGAGAAGTGGGACGTCGGTTCGGGGCCGGGTAAGCGCATCGGCCAGGTGACCTCCCTGGTCTTCAAGGGCGCTTCCGTCGGCATCTCCAAGGACGGCACCGCGGCCAACACGGAGCAGTTTATCCTGGGGTGGAAGGCGGTGCTCGAGCACACGACGATCCTCAAGCACGACTGGGCCATCAAGGCAGACCCAGACTCGGTGATCGTCGTGGACAGGCTTCGGGGCCATCTCCTGGGGAGCACCGGCATGTCCACCTTCGTCAGAAACTGCAACTCGATTCCAGACAGCCCCGACTACCCGATGATGTACGGATCGATGGAGGCGATCTCGAGGAAGGCCCTCAAGGTGCTCCAGGACGGAGTGGACTCCTGCATGATCGCCTTGGACTGGCAGACGTGGGGCGAGGACTTCTTCCTCAGCAAGTGCTTCGTGCACCTCAACGTGCAACCGTTGGACGATCTCGCGATCACCAGCGACGGCGTCTGCCTCGGGGTCGACTGCCACGACGACCAGGCGGCCGCGTTCCACCCGTTCAAGGCCGACCAAAAAACAAACGACACCACCCCACCTACGGTCACTCGACCGTGCGAATATTCCCAAATAATCCAAATATGGTATGGGGGCGATGTTTTACTATGTTTGACTATTTTGTTGCATATTTGACTTTTTGTTGTGTTCCTTGTAGAATCCGCCTGTAGGAGGACATGCCCGGCCTAAACCTACGGCCCAGCGGGGGCCGTAGCGTATACCGCGCCAAAAGCCCACGCCAGACCTCCTGGTATACGCTGGGGCCCGTCTGTTTTCTGGTCCACGAGGGCGTCGACGAGTGGACGAAGTGCTGGAACTCGGTCACCGCGAACATGGGCGGCCCCCCTCCGCCACTGCCGTAGGGAGGTAGCTGGCAGCAGCCTGCGGCGGCGAGCTGAGCCGCGGGGCCTGCCGCGCCGCCGCGGAGGGCGGCCGCCGGTGCCGCCGGCATCACTGCTGCCGCGGGTTGAGTCCGTTCGGAAGCCTCGGCGCGGCCAGTTTTGCCAGGAACAGGGTTCGGCTTGAATTGTGTTTTCGCGATGTCGTGGGCCGTTTTCTTTCTGATGCCGTTCTGCACAGCAAAGGAGGAACGAAGAGACGCACCGAGGTGAGCTGGAATCGAAGCGAATACGAACAGAAACACCGTGTAGGTCGAGCCCTGGCCAGGAAGGCTCGCCTCGACGGCGCGGCGAGGGCGGGTGGCCTTCCTCCGGCGGCGGTGGGGCTTCTTGTTCGACAGCAAATCATGATAGCCTTGTATACCATTTTGATTCCGTGTTCAGCGTTGATTAGCGTCGACTAGCGTCTGCAAGTCGATGAGATAGCGCCGATTTAGAGTCGGTTAGCGTCGATTTAGCGTCGATCACCGTCGATTCAGATTCGATAAGATAGCGCCGATTCAGCGTCGATTCAGCGGCGATCTAGCATCGATTAGCGCCGATTTAGCGTCCACTAGCTAGCGTCGATCCGCAAGAGCCGACAAGAGGGTATGGGATGCCCCCAAGGGTTGCCAGCAAAGCTTCAGGGAGTCGAATCTGGGTGACGGGGGCCTTGCACGCCTGGGCAACGGCGGCGCTCGGCCGCCCCGTGGTCAACGGACAGGGCGGCGACGAGATCGCCCCCTGGTCAGAGGCCAGAGCGGCGACGGCTGTCCCTCTACATGAGAAGTCTATATATATATATATATTTATGTACACATACACATCTATACCTTTTTATATAAATAAAACATGTGGGGACGAATTTTCGACTATGTTCGACTGTTTGTCCCAACCCTCCTGCGTTGGGTACTCGTTTTGAATAGAGCACTGCGGTCTCCACCTCTGGCTCCCCCTCCCCTTCTCTCCTGCCTGTCACCTTGCTCCTTCCTGCGAGCCAGCTTGCCTCCTACCTGGCCATCCCTGGGGGGGCTGCGATCAACGAAACTGTCGCCACTTTCGAGGGCTGCCGGGGGGTCCAGCGGAGTGACGTCCCACGCAGACTCAGATTAGACCTCGCCATCCCTGTGGGGCTGCGATCTGCGAAACCGTCGCCACTTTCGAGGGCTGCTGGGAGGTCCAGCGGAGTGACGCCCCACGCAGACTCAGACTAGACCTCGCCATCCCAGTGGGTATGCGATCTGCGAAACCGTCGCCACTTTCGAGGGCTACTGGGGTGTCCAGCGGAGTGACGTCCCACGCAGACTCAGACTAGATCTCGCCATCCCTGTGGGTCTGCGATCTGCCAAACCGTCGCCACTTTCGAGGGCTACTGGGGTCCAGCGGAGTGACGTCCCACGCATACTCAAATTAGACCTCGCCGTCCCAGTGGTGCTGCGATCTGCGAAACGGTCGCTACTTGTCGAAGGGTGCTCGGGGGTCCAGCGGAGTAACGTCCCACGCAGACTCAGACTAGACCTCGCCATCCCTGTGGGTCTGCGATCTGCCAAACCGTCGCCACTTTCGAGGGCTACTGGGGTCCAGCGGAGTGACGTCCCACGCCTATTCAAATTAGACCTCGCCGCCCCAGTGGGGCTGCGATCTGCGAAACCGTCGCCACTTTCGAGGGCTGCTGGGGTGTCCAGCGGAGTGACGTCCCACGCAGACTCAGACTAGACCTCGCCATCCCTGTGGGGCTGCGATATGCGAAATTGTCGCTAGTTTTCAAAGGCTGCTGGGGGGTCCAGCAGGGCGCTGTCGCGTGCCGCCCGCAGACCTGGCGGCGCGCCTTTGAGCGCTTAGCTTCCACCGTGAAAAGTGCAGGAAGGAAGCAAGGAAGCTGACGGGCGAGCTAGCCGCGGCGACATGGCGCAGGCAGCGCTGCATATTTTGTGTTTTACCGACAAAACCAACACTCTTCGGTCTCCTCCCGTAATTTTCGTCGTCGTCTTCTGCCCTTGCCACCTTCCCTCTGCTGCTGCCGCGCTGACGGGTCGGCCCCCCGCGCGTCCCTCTTTTGCCATTCGTTCCTGCCCTCATGTCGTTTTCAAGTCTGGACCTTCGCTCCTCGTCCTTCTGTTGTTGTCCTGTGAACTGTGCCGCGCGAGCGCATCCCATGTAGCTCGCACAACATATGACGGCGCCTGCACTGTCATTATCCCGGCAAGTTCGGGCCAACTCCTCTTGTCGCTTGAAGCACATGGGCTGGGTACGTCACAGGGTAAAGTTTGAACATGTTTCCCAACACTCTGGCATTGGGTACTCGTTTGAATAAAGCACTGTGGTCTCTGTCCTTCCCCCGCCTTCCCTCCTCTTTTCCCCGCCTTCCCTCCTCTTTTCCCCGCCTCTCATCTTCCCTGCCTGCCTCGTACCTCGCTCCTTTTATGATCAACCCTCTTGCGTTGGGCTTCCGTTTTTTGAATAGAGCACTGCGGTCGCACACCTCCCGCCTTCTTTCCTTCCCGCCCTCTCTCCCCTTCTTTCCTGTTTCTCACCTCGTTCCCTTCTGCGTGCCAGCTTGTTTCCTACCTGGCCATCCCTGGGGGGCTGCGATCTGCAAAACGATCGCCACGTTCGAGGGCAGCTGAGGGACCGGGAAGAGTGACGTCTCACGCAAATTCAGACTAGACCTCGCCGTCCTTGGGGGGCTGCGATCTCCGAATTTGTCGCCAATTTCGAGGGGTGCTGGGGGAGCGGGGTGACGCCCCACGCATACTCAAATTAGACCTCGCCGTCCCAGTGGGGCTGCGATCTGCGAAACGGTCGCTACTTGTCGAGGGCTGTTGGGTGGTCGAGCGGACTGACGCCCCGCGCAGACTCAGACTAGACCTCGCCATCCCTGTGGGGCTGCGATCTGCGAAACCGTCGCCACTTTCGAGGGCTGCTGGGGGGTTTAGCGGGGCGCTGCCGCGGGCCGCCCGCAGACTCGGCGGCGCGCCTTCGAACGTTTAGTTCCCGCACTGAAGAGTGCAGGAAGGAAACAGGGAAGCTGGCGGGTGAGCTAGGCCTCGCTCGCTTCTGGCACAAACTATACGCAGAGCGCCGCGGCGACATGGCGCAGGCAGCGTATTACCGACGAAAGCAACACTCTCTGGTCTCCTCCCGTATTTTCCGCCGTCGTTTTCTGCTGTTTGCCACCTTCCCTCTGTTGTTGCTGCGCTGACGGGTCGGCCCCCCGCGTGTCCTTTTCCTGCCCGTCGTTCCCGCCCCCATGTCTTCCCCAAGCTTGGGCCTTTGCTCCTAGTCCTTTTGCTGTTGTCTTGCGAATCGTGCCATTTGAGCGCATCTTATGTAGCTTGTACAACATATAACGGCGCCTACACTGTCATTGTCCTGGCAAATTTGGGCCAAGTCCTCGTACCATTTGATGCGAATGGGTCGGGTACGTCACAGAGCTGTTCTTTATTATCTTCCTGGCAAAATCAGCCTGTATGGGGGACATGCCCGACCAAACTTTTGTCTTCTGTGCTCCTCCATGGATTTTATGGAAGAGTGGGCCTGCGAATGCTTCCTGCCCCGATATGCGGGGATCACGAGGATCCTTTTTGCAGTTAATGATCCGCGCGCTCGCGCTCTGTTCGGAGACGACGAGCAAGCTCAAGTGTCCCAACTGCCTCTGGCTCTGGCATACTATTCATGCTTTCGTCAGCGCACCGACTAAACAGTCGACCAGAATTCGGGGAAACTTTGCTGCTGCCTTATGCGGCGTGCAGTCCTGGGGGCCAGAGCACGGCAGGACCATAGAGCCATCTTGTGCTGGCTTGTCGGCTGGCCCGGCTTATAGGCTGGTTGCAAAGCCGCGCAGTACACATGAGGTGGCCCTTTGTGGAACCCGATCGTGCCAGGAGAGGTGTGTCTTGAAAAAGGTTAAACAACACATTTCCGCACGTGTAGTAATCAGAGGCACGGCAGCCAGTAGAGCGCTCTTTCTAACAAGTAGTTCACCTCGACGTATTATCCAGGAGTGATGAGCCGCGTCTCGTTATTTACTAATTACGATTTGTGGTTTATTCTTCCAGGGAGAGAAATAATAGTCAATTCAGCGCGGGAGGTGGAGAGATTACCCCTTAACACGTAATGTATCACGATTTGTTTTCACGGAAAAACGCACCACGGTCTGTTCTGGTAGAATAGTGAGCCGAGGTTGGCTATTGTGGAATGATATAATCGTTGCCGCGGGGACGGGAGGTGGTGGTATGAGGGTATTTTAGCATATTGACAGTCTCGGTTCATTATTAAAGAGCAACGAGCCGCGGAATGTTGACCCGCAGTCTGAACATATTCCATAGCCACCTCCAGGACTGGCACACCCAAATCTGCGTCTGCAGAGCAGAACCACGCCGGGAGGACAGGGTGCCCATGCAGGAGCCGAGGCCGACGCGGGTGCCGGGCGGACTGTTGGAAGCGAGAGTCACCATGATGAAAACGATGGCGTTGATGTTGACAACGTCGGCGACTTCGTTTCGGAGATTTTGAAGCTTTTCTTGGGGCTCGCCGCCAGGACTGGACGCAGCTCGAACAACCTGCCAGGACGGATCCCGGGAGGGGTCTGGGGACCCTTCCCGAGTGGATTTTGAGGAATCGCCACGAGGACAATGAGGTCGATATTAGAAGTTTGCGGACGCACTTCCTCAGTTTTGGGCCTCTAGGAGACCTCTCGTTGCCAGTCTAGGGACCCTTCCCGAGTGGATTTTGAGGAGTCGCCACTTATCTTCTGAGCCCAACCGCTTATTCTTGAGAGAGGCCACCATGAATGTAAAGCTGCTCCATCAGTATGCTCCATCAGTGCACAGAAGCGGCGATCGCCGACAGGTCAACAAGACGTGGGCTCGGCCAGCCACGAAGTTCGATACACAAGTATATCAAGTGATCTTCCGCTCTCCCTGTGGGCGGAGTGTAACAGCTGTTGCGGCAGCGGATTACAGGCGGTCCCCAATGGGAAGGTGATGGTATCATATTGGTATCACTCGGGGCCCTCTTGGGGGCCAGTCGGTGGCCCGTTTGGGGGCCCTGCGAAGGTCTGGGGCGCGATGCTTCCTCCGAGATCTCGTGAAGAAGCTCGGTATGACCACCCAGTTTGGTCATGGAGACGTGGGGGCGGGGCCTGGGCCCGTCTTGGAGCCTTATCGCCGCGGTCTAGGGACAAGGGCTCCCACGAGGGCGCGAAGTTATTCGCGCTTCGCGCTTTGCGGTCCTCGTTCCTTCTCCCCCTCCTCCTCGTCCTCCTTTCCTCCCTTTGGGGGGGGCTGCGCGAGAGCGCGAAGTTATTCGCGCTTCGCGCTTCGCGGAGCGCGAAGCGCGAAGTTGGGAGCCCTAGAGGGACTTCGGTGGGTCAGGCAGTCGTGGGGCCGTCTTTGGAACCTATTGGGCCCGTACCGGGTGCTGGTTCAAGTGCTCGTGGATAATCAAAGCAGTGCGCATTGTCCCTATCATAGCAGCTTTCTGCGTTCTCCCATTCCCCCCACCGATGAACATCTCAGCCATGGTACGGTCGGGAACTTTGGATAAGCGTGTCGCTCCGAGAGTTCTGGCCCACCACGCTTCGGCGCGACACGCTCACCACTTCCCAGCCTCCAAGCGTTAGCGTCCCGAGCCTTTCCCAGCTTCCCGCCCCCGCGGGGAGGAATGACACGGCATCGGCTTGCAAGGCATAGCGTGTCGCCGGTGCCACCGCCGCGACACGCTGAGCCGATGTTCCCGACCGTAAGCGTTGGCATTTCAGGTCCATGTTCGTATCCGCTGACTTTTGCGTATGTCCTTCTCTCTCTCTCTCTCTCCCTCTTTCCTTTAGACATATACATAGATATAGATATTTGTAATCAACTTGGTTTCCATATGCTCAGACGTGCAGCGGGCCCTGTAGGAGTACTGCGCGACTCTGCTGCCTTCCGCCGACGGGTCCGTGGCCAGCCCATCGGACTGCGAGGTCGAGGCGGAGATGAGGCATGCACCTTGGGGACGGTCACGCCCGTCATCAGCGAGAGGGAGAGAGAGAGAGAGAGAGTGGTCACCGAGCGCGTTCCACTATTCGCAAAGTGCCTACTCGCAAATGTCCAAAGAACAAGTGTTGTTCGATGCAATGGAGCTTGTTTGCCTCGGCGCAATGGATCCAGGCCATTTGCGAGTAGTGGAACGCGCTTGTCTAGAGAGGAAGAGGGGGAGGGGAGGGGGAGGGATGCGGAGGAGGTAGAGTAAGAGGAAGAGGCAATGGCTCCCAAAGCATTGAGCTTCACCTTCATATGCAGGGCTCCACGCGCTCAGGGTTCCGAACAGGATTCCTCGCGCAGAGGGCCTCACACGCATGAGACTCCACATTGTCTGTATGCGTGTGTTCCGCGCGTCGTTACACGACGAATTGCTTGGGCTCCACGCGCTGGCATCAGGTTTAAAGGGGTGCGAAGGTCAGTGGCCTTATCCCAAGCATCATTCGACGCCCCCCTGTAAGTTGTCACCTACTGCGCACACGGGGCTGCAGCGTGGTCCTCTCAGTAAGAAGGACGGGGAAGTTGCACTTACTTGGTTTGCGTTCGCATGTGCGTCGGGCCCTGGCAGGGCAAAGGGTTCAGGGAATAACAGATTTGGGAACGGGAAGAGCCCGCATCGTCAACGACATTTTTGGGTGGCCCTTTGAGCAAGACATGACGGCGTAGTTGCACATACTTGGCTTGTGATTGCATGTGCGTCGCGCCCTGGCAGTGCAAGGGTTGAGGGAATGACAGAATGTATACACAGACACCTCCGACGAATGTTGCATGCACCTTCAGGGAAGGTAGCTGTCTAGAAAGTCACTGGCTCTCAGTAGTGATTTATACACAGCCACCCTCCCCTGAGGCCCAGGAACAATCCATTGGAGAGTTTCTGTGTGTTTTATTTGTGGCGGAGAGTTCGTAACGGAAAGAGCCCGCATCGTTATCGACATCGTTGGGGCGCCCAGGGATGAGCAGCACCGCCAGCAGCCGCTCGGGACCAAAACGCGGGCTGCTCGCGCGGAAGCATGCTCGACCCGAGATTGGCGTCGTCGTTCTCCCTTCCATCGAGGAGGGCACTGGAAGCCGCCCCCGGCGATGCCACGAGGAAGCTCTTCGGCACGTCGACGGCAGGGAGCATGTGGACAGACGGCCGCGCCGGGAGCAAGGAGGCGCTTGCGCACAGGGCAGAGAGCATGGGCCCGGTCCTGAACAGGCCGCCGCAGATGACGGCGTCGATTCCGATCTGCTTCCGGCCCACGGCGCAGGAGCACTACTTCGCGCAGGAGCCGCAGTGAAGCAGACGAGTCCTGGGGGCAAACGGGTCCCGAGGCGCCTGGCAGCTTTCGGGCTCCGCTGGCCCTCCACGGGCCCAGGGACCATCCAACAACGGCTCGGAGAGCTGGCCGAAAAAGTTAATAGTTAAGAAAGCGAAATCGAAAGCGAACCGCTCGGAAAAAGTTGATAGTTTCGCTTTGAGGTGTCGCGGGGACAGTATCCAGGACCCGCTTCTGTGAGCTCCCGCTTCCTCCGTGCCAGTACAGGAGCCGCTGGACCGCGAGGTGAACGCCTGGGCGCTGAACCGGAACAGGCCGGGGGGGCTCCAGAGACGGGGGTTCCAATGCAAACGGAGGTCAGCCAGGGCGCCGGATCCTGCAGGATCTCGCAGAGCCAGGGCCCGGGCCAGGGCACAAGGCCCTGCTCAGGAGGGGAAAAAACACACAGACACAATTAATCGTCGATCCCCAGGAAAATATGGGAAAATATAGGAAGTGGTGGGGAAGACAAAATCCCAGAAAATATGGGAAAATATGGGGGATATTTTTATTTGTGTGTATTTATTTGTGTGTTCTAATTTCCCTTTAACACGGCCCTGCAGGATCCTGCAAAGTTTGGCTGACCTGGGTTTGATGGGCCCAGGTCAGTGGATCCCCAAGATGGGGGGGAGCGCCGTCGGTCCACCGCGCACCGATCCCTGGACGTCGCCCACAGGAGGAGGAGGAGGAGGAGGAGGAGGAGGAGGAGGAGGAGGAGAAGGAGGGGGAGGAGGGGGAGGAGGGGGAGGGCAACGCGTCGCCCATCTTGGGCCCAGCGTGGGTGTGGTGCACGCCCTCCTGGGGCCAGGCCGGGGGCACGCACGCGTTGGCCAGAAGGACTGGGCGGCCAGGCTCGGCCGGGGTGGGCCGCGGGCGCCCTCCTGGCAGGGAGATCGGCAGAGACGGGGCCGGGAAGAGGCCGAACACGTTCCCCGACCAGCTTCGGCCACGCGCAGAGGGGGGTTTAGGGGGAGGGGGGAAGGCCTCTCAAAAGCACCCCTGCCTCTCAGAAGGCGCGGGCCTTGTCTGTAGATGTAGGGCCAGCCTCTTCTAAGAAGCAGCCTCCTGCGGGTAAGCCTTCCCCCCTCCCCCCTCCCCCCTCGTGCGCGCCGCCAGCAGCCCTCCGAGCACGCCCGCGCCTTCGCCGCTCTCTCGCAGAAGCAGGCCCGCCGTGCCAGGCAGCGGCCGTGCAGGAAGAGGTCAGCCGTGAGGAAGGTCATCGCCCCCGGCGACCCCACGGTCCCGCTCGGGAATGGCTTGAGCCACCTGCGGCCCCATGGGTGGCCCTGGCCGCTCTGGACTGGCTCAGAAACAGACTGGGGCGTGTTCAATACGACAAGATCGCGCCGGAGCCTCTTTGCCGATTTCGGTGCGAGGCCGCTTCTGGGCGCACGGGGCCACAAAGAGACGGCCCAGGACGAGAAGCGGGCCCATGGGTGAGAGCTCTACAGGGCTGGCGGCTCTCATAAAATGGAACTCGATCGGGGGTCTGAGGCCCCAACATCCAGGGTTAAGTCGAGCATGAACCTCTACAGGAGGCATATGCGAAAATGGTAACACATACTATAGGGACGATGTTTGTGTGTGTGTGTTTGTGTTTTTACCATGTATTTATTGTTTGATTCCCAACCATCCTGTGGTGTTGAGTCTTCGTTTTGAAGAGACACCGCCCCGCGTATCCTCCTCCTCCCCTTCCTCCCTCCGCATCTCCGTAGCCATCTTGGCTCAAGCCATTTTGGCTCAAGTTCGAAACTGTTCCCTGGTGTTTCGAGCTTGATCGCTGCCGAGGGGACGGCTCAGAGCATCCTTCTTGCGAGGACAGGCCTCGCGGCACTGGAGCTTCAGTGCCCGTGCTTTGTGGCCCACATCTGACCCTCTGGACTCCACCGTGGAGTGGCGACGACGTCTCTCACTCACAGTCCGCGATGGGCCCTGCTGTCTGCGATCGTCCTCATCCTCACGTGCATCGCATGGACGCAGGCGAGGACGCCGCTACCGAACCCGCAATCGTTTCCTCGAGTTCGGGGCCTGAGGGGGGTGACCGTCGCTCGGCGTCTCGCAGTGGAGGAAGCCGTCGTGGGCGCCGTGCCGCTCGTGCGCGCCCAGCAGCCAGCGGTCCCTCGGGCGCTCCCACGGCTGCTCCCCGTCGCCCTCGTGGTGCTGGCCGTGCTCGGGGATCAGGCTGGGATGTCCTGTCGCGTGCTTCTGCCGCCGCTTCACATCGTGGGCCTGACCCTGCTGCAGTTGGTGGTGTCCTGGACCCAGCTAAGCTCGCGGCCCTGGCGGAGGAGTTGGAAGCGGCCCCATACGTTCCCATCGCAGCCTGAGCCCGCAGTCCGTCTCACCCATGCCGATTGCTCGACGCCCAGCAGTGCACCGCCCTTCGATCCCTGGGCGCAGGCCACTTCGAGGGGCTGCCCACCTGGCGGTTTTGTGCATCCCCCCCGAACTTCATGCTCGTGATGATGAGGAGCAGCACGCCGCATTCACTCGCGCATTCTACCATGCGGACATCGCTGCTCGCTTCAACCAGCTCCGCGGAGAGTTTGATCACATCGTCTCAGCTGCTGTCTCGCCCACTGCTCAGCGCACTAATGGGCCGATCCTCGCCACGCTCACCACGCTCACCCGACAGATCGAGGAGCAGGCAAAGCTATGCGACCAGCAGATCATGGACACCACGAGGCCGATGTTTGATAGGGTCCAGCGTGATCTGCAGGATCAATGTGATGCGGTGCCCCAGAGAGTTGAGTCGAATGAGCAGGCCACCGAGAATCAAGCCACCCTGCTCGCCGACCTTCAGAAACAGGTGCAGGAGCTCAAAGACCAGGCCTCGATCGATCGGAAGATGCCGTCGCGCCCACCCGCCCCGCCTGGCTTCGATCGCGAGGTGGACCAGACTCAGCTCATCGTCGTCTCTACTAAGCTGGTTGGCATCGCATCGGTTCGAGAAACTGTCAACAACTTCCTTGGCGAGCTCAACTTCTCCGAGAATGAGGGCTACACGATCGAGGCCCTGTCGCCGCTGCCTGCTAAGAAGTTCTCGATCAGCTTCTCGGGGTCAGTGGGCCTTGCCTCGCGCCGCGCCCAGAAAGTTTTTAGCTTTGGGCTGCCTCAAGTCCGACGGTGCCTGGCGCAAGTTCTACTGCCAGGCCCAGGGTGCCGACCCTGCTCGGCTTCGCTCTGGCCCCGACAAATCCCCCATGCAGGTTCGCGGTGAGATGTTTCTGTGCAAGATGCGCGCTGCCGTGCGCGGACTGGACTTCCAGCGCCGCTGGTTCGTGGATCGAGAACGTCTGGTCCTCAAGGCTGACTACACCGACGTGCTGCGAGTCATCTCTCGCCCTGGTGATGAGGCGCCTGAGATCTCGTGGAATGACATCGGCATCCGCGCCCTGGGTCTCCACCGGCGTGATTTGCAAGAAGCAGTGCGGAGCCAGACTTCAGCGGCGGCTCTTAGGCAGTGGTGCATTTATCACTTCACCGGCATCTCCCTGTTACCCGTGAGTAAAGTCGGAGGGGAGCTGATGCCTAGTCTGCAGCTTCTCCCGTGGAGTGCGCGCGCATTGCTGCAATGTGGGGGGGCTAAGGCATCGCCTAAGCTCAAGTACCTTCATCGTCTACGCCCTGGGTCTGCTATCATTGCCCTCCAGGAGGTGCATGCAGATCGCGTCGAGTTGAACGACTTCGTCGCTAGGTCTTCGGCCACTGCCATCGTTCATAGCAGCTTCTGCGAGGGTAGCGATGGGCAGGAGGTTCGTGGGGCAGGTGGGGTTGCAGTTGTTCTCCCTCCGCTCTCCTCTTCCTCCGTCAGCAGCTGCGCGGTGCCCTTGGTCAAGGGCAGGGTGCTACGCGTGGGCGCAGTGGTCTGGATGACACAGCTGGTGATTTTCAATGCGCGCAATCATGGCCTGACTCGGGCTGAGGTTCTCCGCGTTTGTGAGCAGATTGACGGAGCCCTTTGCCAGGCTGTTGATAACCCGCTAGCGTTCATGGTGGTCGCCCTCTGGGACTTCAACTACAGTTTTGACTCTTCTCTCATATTTCATCGCCCGCGCGGTGCGACGACGCAGCTCACGCAAGACCACGGGGTTCATGCGCCATTTTGGACTTCGACCTCGAGTAAGATGATGGAGGTCGGCTCTGAGTCGCCGACTCATTTCTGTAAGTTCACCAACTCGGTCAACATCACCGATCTCTTCTTTTTGCTTGGCTACGGGCTGGATGGCGCGCCAGATGGTGACCGACGCGCGCGCTGTCGACAGCCCTGAAGCTCTCAGCGCCAAAGGTGTCTCTGACCACGAAGCGCTCTCCGTTCGTCTTCGTCTTCGCGGAGCTCGCCCTCAGCAGGAACGACCGATCCCGACGCGCATATTCACGCCCAAGCTATTTCAACAGAGGCTGCAGAGGATGCTTGCTGATGGCCGTGACGATCTTCGTTGGAGTACACCGACAGCGACGGGGCATTACGAGCTCACGATGAAAGAGGCGGCCCGAGAGACACGGGATCGTTTGATCTTCGCTGCCCCTGATCTTCCAGGTGCCCTACAGTTGGTCGCGCGTGGGGTTGCTCGAGCAGTCTGGCGTCAAGATGTCGCCCTGGCCACGCAGCTCACGGCGTCCTCCCAGCACGCCATCGACGCGTTGGTGGTCGAGGGCTCGCAGGTCCTGCTGCGCCACGCCCCGACCTTCCAGCACTGGTCCGATGGGGTGCATCGGCTTGTCTGCGAAAAAGAATTCGCTGCTGCCGCTGCTGAACAGGCCCCCCCCCCCCCCAGGGCACATCCTCAGCATGGGGGCCCAGCTCTGCATCGCTTCTTCGGGCTCTCGAAAGGAAGATCTGGGCTCCGTTCTCGAAGCGTCTCATCCTGTCCGCGGTCAGCACCCCTGAGGGCCCCGTAACATATTCCCAGGAGAGTACCTCGGCCCTCACGGCCTACTCGACCCCAGTGTTCGCCAAGAAAGAGCCCCAGACTGCCCTCGCTCAGAAGTGCCTCAATCGGTTCCTCACGAAGGCCTCCCATGTCAACATCCAGAGCCCGCTGACCCCCATGTTCAGGAAGTCGCTGAAGCGGGCCAAGCACTCGGCCCCGTGGGTGAACGGGCTCCCGCATGCTGCCTGGCTGGCGTGCGACTATGGCGCTCAGCATCTGGCTCGTATGTTTCGGTGGCTATGCCAAGGTCAATCATTATATGCGTCTGACCAACCATCAGGATTCGGTGCCCGACCTCCTGACAGACGCCGTGCTCTTGGATTGAGGAACGCTGACTTTGAGGTCCTTAGCTCTGTCATGAATCACATCCCCGAGCCTGTAGTCCAGGCGGTTGCCCCTGCGTCACAACGAGGTTTTATCAGAGGACAGAACTTTTGCCACAACGTGCTTGAGTTGGATGTACACGCTCGCCCGACCTCACAACATCCTCTTGCCTCTCGGCGCTCCCCCATCCTGGTCGGCTTCGACTATGGACCAGCCTTTCCCAGTCTCTCCCAATCCTTCTTACTGCAGCTGCTGGGCTCCCTTGGGTTGCCCCGCGAAATTATTGTCTTTATCTCTATGGTGTATCTTGCAGTGGAAGGTGTTGTAGCTGATGGATCTCAGTATACTATTATATTATGGGCCCGGTCTGGGATTATCCAGGGATGTGGATTGTCTGGATATCTATACGCTCTGGCCTCCTCCCCCATGCTTGCCGATCTCGAGCACAATGTCGAACGCCGCTCATAAGGGATATGTCGTGCGTGTGCTGACGACCTTGGTGCAGTTTTGTATGAGATGGCTTCGCTTAAGGTCCTGGTCCGCGTCCTCGGTGCGACGCAAAAGCTCGCTGGCCTACGTATTAAGATAAGCAAGTGCACTCTTGTCCCCCTCGTCGGCAATATCACGGCTACGCTGCGTGCCATGGCACAGGCTCAACTTGCGCACATTTAGTCGGAGTGGGGAGGCTTCTAGATCGAGGGGTGCATGTTGTATCTAGGCATGTTGCTGGGACCCGAGGCCACGATCGACATGCGCTGGGAAACCTCACTGGGAAAGGCTCGCACACGTGCGCGCATGTTGGGGAGGGGGGGGCGGCTGCTGTCAGCACGAACTGCATCTTGTGCCGTGCGCGCGCGCGTACCCGTGTCTGTCTTATCTTGCTCAGTTCATCCCGATGCCCGAGTGGTTTCTCCCGATCGAACGTGGTGCGCTCTCTCAGGTGCTACGGGCTCCGCTCGGTTTCTTTTCGAACGAATTGATACTGGAGCTGCCGTCTTGGGAGGGGGGGGGGGGGCGCTTCTTCCATCGTGGACGACGCAATCGACGGCCGCCCTGCTTCGGGCTGCCACTCATGCACTCGATGGCCATTGCAACTACCTGCAGCCCTTGCGCAGCACTGTCATACGTT